GTTGTTGTTCTTCTTCCTTCTATCTTCTTCTTTCGTTGATGTTATTAGAAAGAGGTATGAATAAATTTTGTTTTCTATGTGGTATTTGGCCAATCGTAGAGAAGAAGAAATGCATTCTTTAGTGCAAAGGGGACCTTTGGTGCATTATATCAATGCACATATTGTTATGAAAATTTTTTTACTGAAAGGTAAAAGAAAAAGTAGCTTTTGGAGAGGAACTCCTAACTGGTTTGCGTAGCATAGTGGTAAGGCTGTGGTTTGATAATGGTCTGATAATAACGCGTTGTCTGAGGAGCGATGGTTCAAGGCTAAGCAGAACTGCCAAGAGGGTAAAAAGGAAAGGAAAATACAAACCGAGGAGAAGTTAGGAACCAAGGGGAGAAGGGAGAAGAACGTGAGAAAGGAATGGAGACGAAAAAGCCGCTTTCAATCAATTTCTCTTTTATTGAAGCACTAAAGACTTATTAGTAATGTATATATGCTAAACCCATGGCAATAAGTCATTGTCTTAAAAACAATGGGGTGCATACATAATTAATAAAATTGAATGGATAATTAATGTATGGGGTTATATGGTACTCTTTCCCCCCTTTACCCATCTTCGAAAGATTTGTTGAATCGAGGCTGAAGAATCTTCACAACTGTCATTTTGAGGTTTTAAGACAGAATCTGTGAATCGATCGTAAAACCAGAAGACGGCGGTTAGCCGCTTCGCTTGCATTGTTAAGCATTGTTTTTGCATTGTTAAGCATTGAGTCGTGTCCTGCAGTTGACTCAAGCAGTCAGTGGACGGAAATCAAACGCAAAGCTGACCCTTTCTAGTCAGTAAAACCACGGTGAGGTTTCTGTACTATATTTCATCATGAAGAAGTAACTGCACTAGTTCGATTTTAAGTCAAGCCATTGTCAAACAATTACTTGAAATAACGGTGTAAGGGGCGACGTACATCAACCTTACCACTTTCGTCTACGATAAGTAGCCTATAAGTCCCCAAATGATCACTTGTACGTGGAGATTGCAGTTACTAAGTTCCTGTGTTGTTGGATCCTCAATCCCCTAAGTTACCAAGTTGTTTTCATGGAGAACGTCTCTATTAATAAAAGTCTCAAAGATGAAAGCTGCCATTATCAATAAACACATTGAATTCTTGGAAATTAGATGTGTTGTAGTTCCAGTTTTTTCACTAAGTTGTAAAAGGGTGAACGAAGTTAGCTAGCCTTAAATATAATTCAGTTTATGGCAGAGAAACTAGGTGCCAGCGGTTGGTTTTTGATGGAGCAAAGGAAACAGCAAAACGTGATCGCTTGATGTCAGTTCTTTGGTGACCACCGATACTCTTGTTACCTGTTAAAGATCCAAGACATTTTCACCACAAGACAAGCGAGGCGGGTGTCAAAAACAAATACGAGGGTCTTTCCCGAAATCGATTTCTGCGAATTCAGCGATAAAGTTCCACGCCCAATCTTTAAAATAGAAACTTGTAATGTTCAGAAAGCGGAATAGTTTCCTACCTTAACTCAAAAAGTTAAGGTTTGGATCTGACATTTTCAAAGCTGGGAGTGTGAAGCACTCTCTCGTGAATTTAAGATTCTGTTGCCAACTGTCTGTCCAGAATAAACGGTATTCAAGCTGACGAGAAACTTTAATCGAGTAAATTTAATCACGACGCGGAGACAAACATTGCTTGTGGATTAGGTAAGAATTTTGTCTGTTTTCCGTTTTTCTGTTTAATTGCTTCTCTTGATTAGAGGATTCAGCGGTTTATAAGAAGCTCATTCCTGCTTATTATAGAAGCAACTGCTTCGACTGCACTTCTTTGATGTTATCTATTGTATCCATACGGTAATCATGCTCTTTATTCACTGAACAATCGGTTTACTCTGAACTGATCATATGTTCTAGATATAATGCATTTTCAAACAGCACATGTTTGGTGTTTTTAAATATCACTCCCTAACTTATTAACATTTATCCTCGTCTGCTAATCTGAGGCTGAGAGTCTGGTTAAAAAGAGAGAGAAGTTTTTGTTCAGTTGACCACATTCATAACTCAAGGTTCCACAATACTTTCGAACTGTCCATGAGCGATTCTAAAACCACCACAAACACCGTTTCAGTTTTGAAACGATATTAGCTGTTCCTGTCTGCTCAGACGGAATTATGATCCAGAAGCTGCACCTATACTGTACAAGATATTTTTTTTCATATGATTGAAAATGTAGACGGAGATTTTTCTGACCTTAGTCTTTCAATAGGCCGTGCTGAAGCATGATGTGCAAAAAAAGATTACTGCTCTGCTAATTTAATCCAAGGTGTTAAGTTTCTAATAAAAGAAAGTAGACACAATTTCTCAAATAATGTGATTTTTTAACTCGTAATCCAATAACCATTTGAGTCGTTCCGGAAATTTTTGGGCCTCAATATTATCATTGTTCATTGAAACAAAGTGTGAATAACGCAAACAATGAAAAATTAGGCATCAATATACAGTAACACTTACTTTTTAAAAAAGAAAGCGTTATATGAGAAAAGCATAATTTTGATTGAAAAACAAAAAACAAAAACAAAGCATCAGGCAAACAAACGGACCGTGGAAACAAGCCGGGGGGCAGCGCCATTAACATGATATGCGTGAATATAGATATCTTATTAGACGTTTTGTTGTGTAGTATCGCTGAGTATTTTTACGAGTTGTGCCGTATTTTGACGAGCCCGTAGGGCGAGTCAAAATACAAATAACGAGTTATTTGTTATCCAACACGCCAAACTGTTATTTTAGTGCGGGCGAATTTCGCGGATATTTATTGACGGGGAGTGCGTGACAGAAGTATGCGAAGCGGAACGGAATTGGCGCGTTGTTGTGTCGCTGTTTCTATTTTCTTCATTAAGTGAAGAAATTTTCTGGTCGTCAAACTGTTTCTCTTCGTTCGATTCATCTAATGAACTTGGATCTATATTTGCCAGCCATTCTGACTCTTCGTCGTCGGAAATATGATTGAAATTGTCCGCCACTTTTTTTTTTCCGTAACCACAATCCAATTCTTCGCTTGCGCGATGCGAGAAAACCAGTTTAACCAGTACTACAATAGACGAGTAATAATACCGCGTGATATTTGTACTCGTCTATGGCGTCATCCGTACTCGTCTAGGTGTAGTTGGATAATAAAATATAAGACTTTGTAATCACATGATGTGAACTGCGCGACCAGTTTACGTTAACATGAAGAAGTAATTATTTTGGGCCGGTCTGCCTCGCAATCGAACCAGAATTTGTTACTGCAAGTTCCGAAGCGGCTATCTGCGTGCTAAGGTAAGAAACTTCCTTTTGAGTTCGGGGTACTTCGAGAAGCAATGCATGGCTGCATAGTTTCCACTGTCTCGATTAAAAGGGCGCTAGTGAGTGGAATCAGTTAGTATAATTCGCAACGAATAATTTAAGACAGTAAGACATAGAGGCGGTCATCAGTTGAGCTGAATAGACCGGCTACCTCAAATACACGAAAAGTAGTGCAACCGGTTCAGCACTTGGATATTTGTGTTGGAAAGCATCATAGCCTCAACTGTCGATGAAAAAACTCGTTGTGAATGTTGGTTGATCGACGAGTTATCCGGTATGAAGCAGAACACTACTTGGGAATCCACCATGCATTGTGCTGCTATTGCTAATTCTCCATTGTAATGGCCATCTGCTGCTGATACAATATGGTGGTTTGAAATAGCGACATAAATTCGACATAACGCTTACCATGAATCCCCATGTATAAAAGTTTCCAAACGTATGAGTAAGACTATAGTTTCGATCTAAATAATTATGATAAAGAACACCATAGATTATTTGCATAGGTGCCGCTGGAGAGCGAACAATACTTGAGTACTTCACGTTGTTTTCGTCGCCAACGAAGGCCCTTAATGTGCTTAACGCGTGACGAAGTAGAAGTTCTGGTTTCGATTACTTATGGTAAAACATTTTGATCTCCTGGGAGCTTTCCATGACTTGATGTACGGTTAGCTGATTAGTCTTACACTTATTCGAAATTGAAATTTCAAGTATATAAATATAAGTATATGAATATAATATAATATAATATAATATAATATAAGTATATATCAAGTATATGAATATAAATTTCTTTCGTTATGTGCTAATGTAAACACTTTCGAATGTAAACTATGACTACAGAAAACTGCGAACATGGCCTGGTTTAATTTTGGCCTTATCGTGACAAAATGGAATTGCAAGCTTAAAGGTTCCAGAATGTAGACATCTGTCGGTAAAATGCGTAACCATCTGAAAGACAAGTAAAAAAAAAAATGCTGAAGATATTTACATTTTATATTCATGCTAGAACGTGTCTGATATGACCATAACACTTCTTTTAGGAAATTGCTGACGCTTTTGTATCCTGAGATATACTTGTTTGACTGGCCAGTCAAAGCTGCAAGCTGACACTTAGAAACTACATGAGGTAAGCTTTTCGTTTTCGAATTCATACCTCTCCCTACAGAGATCTGTAGAATAAATAAGATAGTGCTGTCATTGGTAAACAAATGAAAGAAATGAGGTTCACTGGGTTTACTTTGCATTTTTTAAATAGGTTGTCTCTGTCTCTTAAATCGCAAGTTTTTAATGATCAAGAAGCTACGATGGAAACCTAAATCGTCGCGTACAGCTTAAAACTAACCCAGAGACTGGAAGGTAAGGCATTTTTGTTTGGCTTTTCTCTCTAATGAGCACCAGAGTAATTGGTCACGTTTGGGAAACTTAAAGATTAGATAACTTCTGTTTGTAAAATTGAGCTTGAGATGTTTTATCTGGTTTTCGTGAATATGAAAATCCAAAATACAATAATTTTTTTATAAGCCAACAACTGCTTACAAGGGATAATTTCAGAAGCATTGCTAGGATGAAAGTATAGCTTATTGTTTCGAAGACCAGAGCAAACTGATCGCAGTGTTGGCTATGCTCACAAGCCGTAACACAACTGTATGGTAATGAAGATCAGTGTGACCAGCAGCTTAGTTAAAAAAAGTTAAACAGATCTTTCTTTCTTTTTCTGTTTCGGAAAGATTTCCCTTTAAACCATAGCATTCTGAAATATAGCCGTATTCTCAAAAGCATCAAATCATTTCTTCGTTATTTTCTAATATACACGAACTGTGTTCATATTGAAGTATATTGTTATACGGAAATCACGCCAATGTTTCGTCTTAGCCCGAATAAATCCTTTTAAAAACAGGCAGAAGTATTTAAAGTTGTTTGACCTACCGCTACTTTAGACGAAATCAAAAATCTGAAAGCTTATAATTTGTCTCTCACAGATGACTGCATCCATCGAAGCAATAACATACCCAGCGGTGGACAATGAGCTTGGCAAAACAAGCCTCACAGATAACATTGTCAGCGAGCTAAGACGTCTCCGAAGTCAAGTTGGAGGACTCGTCTCATCGTTAACAAAAGGTGAATCTTGATTAAATCGAGTGACTGAGATTGTCTGACAAAATTGCCTTTC